AACTCCAGAAGGCACTTTACTTGGTACTGTGAATGATAGTGCTGTCCACACCACCACCATGAAAGGTACCCCATAGTCTGCAACAAAACTTCTAAACCATCCTGTTCAATAAGCAAACTATGTCAGATTCCCCACTCCAACCATAATGTAGTTCAAATCACTTGAAATTCACTTAACAAACCTGTGGCATATAACCATGACCTTGCTCTTCTGCTCTTTAAAGATGTATAGAGAAGGCCAAAGGAGAATATAATGCCCATCAATCCATTTGCATACAGCCAATTAAAATGGTACTTTTCCAATGTTGGGTCTCCCTCTTTAGGAACATTAAACTCACTTACAATTCCCTGAACTTGCAAAAGCTTGTGTCAAAGTACTTTTCCCATGTCTTATGCCAATTCATGTTTAATTTGATATTCGATACCTAGACTAATATACCACAAACTGACCTTTATAGCCTCTTGAATGAACAAGACTGTGATCAACATGCCAAAAAGCTCACCCGCGATCCTTGTAAATCTATTGATGATATTTCCAGCATTGAATATTGCTAGAAGAAACAACAAGAGAGCAGTCCATAGACAAACCCTGGGACGTTAATTATATCAATTAGACATTGATTTCACAACGAAGTTGGATCATATAGAAAATGTTTTCCTTACCATCCTGCCCAAGCTAAAAAGAGTTCTCGTCCCAAGGAAGTCTTATCTTTGGCAAAGTTGTACAAATATGTGTACATAATGATAGTGGGCTCAGCAACTCCTATGATTAAGAGAGGCTGGCCACCCAAAATTGAGTGTATGATTCCACAAATAGCTGTGGAAGCCAGCGTTTCTACAGTGCTCAAGCTTCCATCTGTATACAAACAACAGCTTGTTCAATTTCTCTGTCAAGTTTTTCACTTATAAGGAGAATATCGAGTGAGACAAAAGAACTAATCTCTTATTTTTCATTCATACATTTAACTCAACCATTTCTTCTCATGCTCACTCTTGTAGTAAAATGCGTGAGGGGTTCAAAAATCTTGTGCTATTGTATGAAACACACTCACTTTAAGAAGTTGTCATTTTAACTTTCATATAAACTAAGATGTACCTTGATAAAATACTTCTAAATAAAGTGAAGAGCATTTGTATATAATATCATGAGATTTATTAATGTAGATTCATTCTTTATAGGAACCGTTTTGGAAAATTACAATTTTGATTTTCTTATACTAGAACATTTTTTTTAAAGCAAGTTGGTGGAGATTACAAATACTAAGAGAAGTATTTGACAAGTTAATCCTTCTATAGACGAAGTGTGTTACCATCTTTGGTTTACTCATATATGTTAAGATAAACAGGACAAGAGAAGAAGATAGATAAAAACCTGTGTCTCTACTTAGCTGCTCGCCAAAGGCAATGACTGGAAGAGCAGAAGCAAAGAAAATATAGATAGTTGGAGCCAATATTCTGTCAACAGAAAGAAAGAGTGTTCATTAAATAGTATTATTCTTTAAAAGTATGCATAATGAAGATATGATATATAACAAAATTACCTAGTTCCTGAATAGAGACCGGTTGTCCAATCATCTTTATAGAAGACCGCTCTTCCTTCAAGGTCCCCTTTAACACCCTTAAAAAGTGTTTTTAAGCTTTCCATATCTGCATAAAAAATTCTTAAGCATCAAGGTATAGAAAAGGAGAAAGTGGAAAACATATATACAATCACATATACACGACTAAGGTTTCTTCCCGTTGGCTTTAGCTTTTTTCACCAACCAATTTGACTCAAAACAATTACTGGGAACAGCAAATGGAATTTGAAAAAACTGTCAAGGTTGCCCAAATCAAGTTTACGGCTCTTGGAAACATTATTTCCGGGAGTAACCGAGCCCATATTGTACATTGGAATGCTGTTCAGCATGTTTGCTTGGCATGTGGAAGATCATTATTTGTACAACATTAATTATCATCACTGTGGCGCATCCGAAACATGGTACGGTATTCCAGGTCATGCAGCTTTGGAATTTGAAAGGGTGGTGAGAGAACATGTGTACACTAATGATATTTTGTCAAGTGATGGGGAAGATGGTGCATTTGATGTTCTTCTGGGGAAAAAAACTCTATTTACACCAAATATTTTGTAAGAGCATGAAGTTCCTGTCTACAAGGCAGTTCAAAAGCCTGGGGAGTTTATAATAACTTTCCCTAGAGCATATCATGCTGGCTTCAGTCATGGTTTCAATTGTGGAGAAGCAGTGAATTTTGCAATTGGTGATTGGTTTCTATTGAGATTGAGCCAAAGCGCCTTAAAGTGGAACACCAAAAAAAAATGAAAAAAACAGACGGAAATGAATGATTCACATACGCAGTTCCTTGAAATGCTATTGCATCTATAAGAAACATAATGAAAAACAGAGCTCGTGATGAAGACAAGAAACAAAGAGTTGAACAAGAAATCACGTTTGCAACTGCATGCAAAATTAATGTACAAACTACAAAAAACGATTATAAGAAAAATGCATACCTCTAAACAGAACAAAGAAGAAAGATATACTCTACTTTGCAGGATATTTGCAGGATGTTGTGGTGGGAGGAAGAGAAGAACATAGCTCATATTTATAGGAGTAAAGGATTCTTCCGTGTGATGCTTTTTGGTTAGGCCTGAAACAGAGAGAGGATGTTGTGGTGGGAGGAAGAGAACATAGCTCATGTTTACAGGGGTAGGGGATTCTTCCTCGTGTGATGCTTTTTTTGGATCCCGTTTTTATTATGCCTGAAACAGAGAACTGCAAGTTCAAAGGAAAAATTCTAGTCTGTTTATAAATAGTTTTAAACTTCTGGAGATGTTTATAAATAGTTTTATAGAAAAGTTTATAAATGAAAAACTTCTGGAAAAAAAGTTGATTGATCATCAATCCACAAAAGACCATTTTAAACTATTTTAAAAGCTTAAAGAAATAAGGTTTTTTTTTAAAAAAAATTAAGAAATCAAATTAATTGTAAAAAAGTTGAAAACATTTTGATTATAATTTATTCTAAACTATTATATTATGATTATAATTTATTCTAAACTATTATGAAATCACCATAGCAAACAAAATATAGTATAATTATAAAAATATTTTATAAAACATGATAAATTGATTACAGCATAATACAAAATTTATTTAAGATTTAATGATTTAATTAATTGTTTTAATTAGAATGTAGTCCTTTGAGATCCCCCACCTTAATTCTGATAATTAAATATATCATACAATGATATTTTATACTAAATTTAGAAGAAAAATCAATTAAATTTTAAACGGTTTTCTTTCAAACACAATTTACATTTGTTTATATCATATAATAACATTTGGAAGATTTTATTTTTGTTCATTTTTTTTTGTCACTTTTAAACACGTCTTCTTATGTAGTTAGGAGTTATTGAGGGTGTGAAATTTTAGATAAGAGAAAGAGTGTTGCACCCTCCACCACCACACCTTTCTTCCTCCACCTCCCCAATTTATTTTAATTTCAATTATATTCTTAGATTAAAATTTTTTACTTTTACTATTTTAATTTATTTTAAATCTAGTTCTCCTATTTTACTCATGCACCCAATCTTTCCATCTCTCATTTTCGTTTAATAATTTGTCTTTCGTTTTACTCTGCAACTCAATCTGTCTTCTCCGTTTCACTTCTCCTCCTCCGTTTCTTTCTTCTTCAATTTCTTTACATTATTAAAATACATTAAAAATATATTCAAAAATAATAAATCAAAACATTTAAATTAAATTATTAAAATATTTTCAAAATAAAGAATAAACTAATAAAAGAAACCAAAAAATAAAAAGCGTAACTTTTAAACGGAGGTGACATCCTTCAACGGATGTCAACATCCGTTTAAGGAAAAATGGATGTTGACATCCGTTGAAGGATTTTGACATCCGTTGAAGGATGTCTTAAAGTTTACGTTTTTTATTTTAGGATTTTATTTGAAGGTTTATTTGAATACGCACCTTGAGGAAGCAATAGACACTGCACCATTCCACACACTACACTACGAGAGCGACACTGCACCACGAGAGGGAGACTGCTTGATAATTCTTTCCACCACCACCAACCTTTGCAACTTGTAGTATCTCAAAACAAAGAAAGAAAGAGAGGAAGAAATATAATGTTAAAATGAAAGAAAATTATTTTACTCATGTACGGGACACTATAATAGGTTATTAGTGGAATAGGTTGTGAATGGGTAAAATTAAAACATAACCCTAAAAATAAAATTTTACTTAGGGGCAAAATGGGCAAAATAATAAATAAGAGGTGGAGGGAGAAAGGTGTGGTGGTGGAGGGAGCAACACCCTAAGAGAAATTATACAGAGGTAAACTTTAAATTAGAGTTCTTTTTGGTGGAGATTATAGAAAATAAATTTGGTGTTATATGCAAAAAGTTATATTATTGTGCTTTATGTTTTTTTAACGTTGTCTAGGATGTTCCGAGTCAATACATTTTTTATTTTAAGCAGAAAACTTAAAAGAACATTGATTATTTAAATAATTTATGAATTTTCTAAAACACAAGAACTAACAAAAAATTAAAAGACATTATAATTTAGCATATTAATACATTAATATTTAATAACTCACTGCTTAGTAGCCAAATATTTCCTCTCATATAGTAATACATTATTCATAGTTAAGAAATTGTTTAAATTTATATACAAATCGATAAGAATTTTCTATCAGACTTATATAACACAACAGTGCTATTTACAGAGATTCATTATACCACTATTCACATGCATTCTATCGTTAACTTCCCAATCAAGAAAAGTATAAAGATAATGTTTAAACGTTGGTGTGATGACAAACTTCTTTCTCCGTGGGGTTCATATTCGAAGGAAAAATAAAAGCAAACACTCTTGGTTTGGTTGAACCTGTAATACAATTTATATCTTGCTTGGCCAAATAATTAGAACAAAGCTAACTCTATATACTATAAACAAGTAACAAAACGGACAACAGATAAGAAAAACTAATTTACCTGAATTACAGTACCAAAAAATTCAATACCTAAATGCTAGTTGAGAATATATCCCTAAACGAGGAAAGCTATACCTAACACTCAACTTTGACAAGTGCATTAGGAACACTGATGGGTAATGATTTATACTGGAACCAATCCTTGGTACAAATAAGGGCCTCAAGAATCAAGGAATCTAATGAACTCCGGTAGTTATCCATTTTTCTAATTTCTGTATCAAAAACAGCATCTGCCGAGAGGGTGGATACTGGCACACACAAAATATCTGATGCTAGTCTAGACAATGTTGGGTACTTCAATCCGTTTATTCTCCACCAGCTCAGAACATCAAATTCTTGTACTCTTGTCTCAAGAGGCTCTTCAAGATACTCATCCAATTCAGACTTATATTGCTGGTTACATGTTAGATCAGATATATAAAATTCGATGTCAGACAGTTCATCATCACCCGTAAAAAGAGATGCATCAAATGCCCCTTCTTCAAATGACTCAGTCTTTATCATAGTGTCATTCCCTTCATTATCATTTGTTGCTGTAAAAGGAAGCACTTGTATGATATTATATTCAAGGAACAGTTCATTAAGACCCTCCTCAACAAATCTTGTCCAGTACTCAGCATTCTCACCAAATATCTTAGCGAAGGTGGACTCCACGAATTTCATTTTATATCTTGGATCCATGGCTACAGCAGCAGCCAGGATGACACAGCTTTCTCTCCAATATTGATCAAAATTCTTTTGCAAAGGCATAATCAAACACCTGCAGAAAGGATCCTGGCTTAAGGCTGCGCAAGTCAACACCACCTGAAGTTTTGACACTTCAAGAAAAAATACATTTGCAGTTGGGTACGGTTGAACAGTTAAAATGTTAGCTGCATCATACAAGTAATTCAAATATCTACATAGAGTTTCCACATGCTTCCAGTCATCCATTGTTAAAGTCATTCTGAAATCAGGATCAAAGGCGTCAAAGCAAACAAAAACTTCCTTTAATTTGCAAGCAGCTACAAGCATATGGTAAATTGTGTCCCATTTATTTTGGTCATCGATAACAAGGTCCATTGTACTAGGGACTTGAAGTTGTTGCCTCAGCTTCAAAAAATTTGCTTCATTTGATTTAGAAGATTTCACATACTTCACACTCTCGCGAACTTTATTGATTGTTTCTCTCGTAGCTGATAACGCGTCTAATGCAAGGCGGCTAAGTACACGAGCATAACAGTTCTGGCTTAAAAACTGACCATTGAGAATCACAGGGTTATTAACAGAGAGGAGACTTCTCAGATTTCCCAGCAAAGTCTCAGTGGAGAAGACTTTATCAAGTGCAAGAGTAAATAGCCGACCCTTTAAATGCCAATTGCTTAGGCATTTCACTATAGCTTGATTTAAGGAACCGTCAGAATCAGGAAATGGTACCGTGAATACATTAAGAATAGGATGATGTAAGTTCCAATCACCATCAATGAAGTGACCTCGAAGAAAAACATAGGCTGATGTTTGGTTTGAAGTCCATAAGTCCAAGGTGAGGTTGACTCGTCCAGGAATCCCATCAATAAGATTCAACAGGTTTTGCTTCTCTCTGAGGTACATAGCAACACAATCCCCTTGAATAGCATTAAGGCTCAGTGGATTGAACTGGGGTTGCAGCGCCCTTACAAAATCAATGAAACCTTGGTGTTCTACAATATGAAGTGGATAGTCATGTAAAATAATCATTTTGGCCATCTTACTGTTGCAACGCTCCTGATCAAATGAGATAGCAGCAATGTAAGGTTTTGCCCTTGCTCGTTTCTTAGGTGGATCTGCATCAGTTTTGGAACATGGAATTTTTTTATTTTTCTGACAGATACCCAGAGCAATGTGTCTCTTGAGATGACTGGTGCCAGATTGTTTTGAATCTTTGAGATAAGCAAATGACTTTTGGCATCTTTTACAGTAAGCCCTGGCACATCCAGGTCCATCAGTTTTCACAGTGAAGTGCTCCCAAACAGTAGATTTCTTTCTCCTCCTACTATTTTGATGTGTTTCTGACTCCATGACAGGACCGCAGGTTGAATCTAAAAAACAAATTAAACGTAAAGCATTACAAGAGAGTAATCAAAATGTGGTAGAATTCCAACCAGCACTACATCACTTTTGTGTTAAGGAAAGCAGACAAGTGTATAATTCTCGTGTAGTAATAGTAATATAAACGTCAAAAGGGGGAAGCACATAGAGGGTAACAAAACAAAAGAAGCCAGTGGTCTTCAGCATAGTTTCTCATTTGAAATTTTGGTTCCTAACAGTTATTGATCAATACCAAACAAGGTTATCAAATTGGATTCAAAGAGGAAATCACCAAGATAATTTTTTAATCCTGAATCATAACTTGTGTTAAAATTATAAGATTCAGAAACAACGAAAAAATAAATTGAAGATATACTGTTGAATGTAATAATTGTATACTAGAAATAGATAAAAACACCTTAACCACAAGTCTAACAAAATTATTAGTTATACATGAGTGAAGCCTCTGTTTGGAAAGAGAATTAAAGCAAAGCAATGAAGCATCCAAATAGATTGCATACCGAGAGAACAAGTGAAAAATAAAGTAGTGAAATAATCAAATACGGAACGATCAGTTGGGCTCCTTCAGTTCCTTTTCATTTAACAATATATGCTTCTATGACTTCTTAATTCTTTTATGAGAGGGAAAGACAAGTAAAAAATAAAAGAACATAATGAATCGTTGAATCATTTGATTTATAACATTGATACAAAATCTTCCTGTTTGATTAATTTATAGTAAAATTCACACTCGTTTTAAATCATGTTATGATATGAATTGATAACTTGCTAATTCGCATAAAATTGTACGATTCTGATGATGATCCCAAACATCTGATCCATAGAGCTCTGGAAGAGCAATAGTGCAAAGGAATGGCACATACTGGGATGACCCCTAGTTTAAATTTAAAAAGCATAATGCAAACTAAATAATTCATACTATGAATATAAATATTAAATAGTTAAAGAAAATCCAAAATTAAATAAATTCATGATTTTTAATAAGTCAATATCCACACACAATTACCATCATCTCAGGAGCGATAAGAACACAGTAATGAAGTAAAAAAACGAGAGACAATGATGAATTGAATAGGAAAAGAAGTTAAAAAATTAAATACATATTAGCATATGTAAACAATTGAGTCTAAGAGAAGACGAAAGAACAGAACATATGTTGTAAAAATTAACGAATATGTAAATTCCTAAAGAACGATATCAGAATGTTTCTGAAGAAACAAATGCATTAGGAAATGAGGTAAATATCAGAATTTTGCCGAAAGTAAATCCTAAACAACGTTCTTATAGGGGTACAAAAACTGGGTTTTTGAAGCCTATATCATATTAGTGCTGCCATGGCGCAGAAAAATCTGTTATTGCAGCCACGTTTTCAAAAACTCCACTGTTTCAGTCTTGGTAACGTCTTACGTCTGATTTACATCACTATATACACTATATATTTGAATAATTAATGTTAACTCTTCTTGTATCCCGTATCCTCTTCCAAAAGGCTGTGTAGGAAGAGTAATGATTGGTAAGCACCAAATTAACATGTCATTTTTTTTCTATCACATCATATTACATATCAGTTACTCTTGTATCTGAAAACTACTGATATACCCCAATTTGTTTCCTAAAATAACTATTATAAAATGCTACAACTTGAAAAACAAATTTGCCAAGGTACCATGTAGCTTGCTAACATACTATTTTATCACAAACAAGTGGAGTACACAACAAATTGTAGTGAACGTGTGATGAAAGATGAAGGATGCACGCCAATGGAGGGTCAGCAATGACTTCAACAAAACCTAATAATTTCGATTACCCATATAAAACCATAGGTGAAAACAACTCTTTCCACCAAATGCCATGCATTTTTTTAACACACATGGAATGGTTACTTGGGACAAGAAGATCCTACGAAGAGAAACAAACAAAGGTAACCATACACAAACCCGTCGAGGACGAAACCAATGGGAGACACCCAAAAACGAATTCAATCACAGTCACGCTAAAGGTAGTGCATTTATCGTCTTGAACAAGAAAAACAACAAAAAGAGGAAAAGGGACACACAAATATATGTGAAAGGCGTAGATATATAGAGAAAGAACCTTTCTTTCTGCGGCTGCGAAGGTAACAGTGAGAGAAGGCTTGAGCGTTGGCAACGAAAGATGGAGTGCAATGCAATGGAATGGAAGCGCCACTTCCCACTGAGTCTCAAGCAATGCCAATAACCCAATTAAGGGTTTCAAATGCATAATATTATACAAGTTTCATTTTATTGACATGTGCTTTTTCTACTTTGTAAATAAAAACAATAAAAGATTTTGTGAGAGATTTCAATATCTTTGCGTGCAAAAAAATCCTAAATCTGAAAACAAACTATATGATTTATTTTATTCATAATTTTTGTGTCTGTTTTAACTGATTTTTTTATTTTTAAAATTACATTTTGATATATTTTTAAAAATAATCGGTAACTAAAAAAATCTAAAATATATTTGCAATTTTAGGTATAATTTAATTTACACTTATAACTATAAATTTTGGTTACATAAAAAATACTTATGTTATATGTTTTACTTTAGAGATACTAATAAATTCTTCAGTAGAAAGGAAGAAATCTTATTTGTATATAAGTATAATATGAAAAACATATTTATACAACTATAAAGTATTTTGAAAAATTTATAAGAATCTAAATGCACGTCTTTCGTTAGATATTTAAAATTTAAAAAGAAAAAATTATAAGTCTGTGAAAAATAGTGACAAAATATAGTTAAATATATATCATTGCAAAGTTTTCCACGGACTTTGTCTCCAAAATATACCAGTTAAATGATTATTTGAATAACATTTTAATTTTGAAAACGTTTAGGGTTAAAAGATTAAAACCAGAACAGTATGTTTTAAAAAATTTCCGGTGGAAATAATGCGGCTAAAAGTGGAAAAAGATAAATGCATTAAACAACTAAATAAATTACTAATTTTAACACGAAAATACTATATTAAAATATTTGATCAAATATAAATAAAAATATTTGATCAAATATAAATAAAAATATTTGATAACCGTTAATAAAACGAGTTGTGGGATAATCATAAAAGAATAATTTATTCTCACTAAAAGTAATTATTAATTATTGTTTTAGTCTTTAGATTATAATACGATTTTAAATTTTATATTAATATGAAATATTTGTCTTTACTAAGTTCTTATAGAGTCCTCGTTTCTCACCTTTGCAATTTTCGTCTTCTTTCCTTGACTCTTATTTTTTATTGTATAGTTTAAATTATTAATAAAAGATTCTTAATTTTTTAGATGTTTTCTTAATTTTCAAAATTATTTACATGTCAACCTTGTTTTACATGACAACGTGACATATGTGAAGTCCACTTACCCCTAAATGTCTTATATTTAACTTAGTTCTAAATTTTAGTTATTTTTATTGAATTTAGTCCTAAATTTAATTAATTTTAATTAATTTAGTTTCAATTTTTAAATTTTTTTTACTGTTTTTATAATTAGATGAAAATTATTTATTATTTTTAAATTAAAAAGAAATTTTTTATTATTTTTAAAATTAGATTCGTTACTTTTAAAATTAGAAGGAAATCTTTTAAAAATTAAAAGAAAATCTCTTCGTTATTTTTTAAATTATAAGAAAAAGTCTTAATTATTTTTAAAATTAGAAGAAAAATTCTATTTTTTTTAAATTACAAGGAAAAATCATTTTTAAAAATCTTCATTATTTTTAAGCTAATCCTAATCCTATTTTTTACATGTAGAAAAAACCAAACATAAATCTAATAATTATACTCCATTAATGTAATTAGAGTTGGTTTAAAAATAATGAAAGAAAATTTAATAAAAATGTAAATTTTAATAAAATTTCAATTTAAAACGTAACAAAATTGAAAATAATTAAACAAAGTTAACAAAATTGAAATTAAATTAAATAAAATTAACAAAAATTAGAATTGAGTTGAATATAAAACATTAACAGGTAAAACTCACTTTGACATTTATACTAATTTGACACGTAACATAATATTGAATTGACATATAAACAATTTTATTTAATTAAAAACAATGAAATTTTAAAAAAACTCATAACTATGCACATTGTTCATCTTCGGTTCACAATTTAGACAATGTCATTAAAAGGAACCAAACTAAAAATAATTTACTAAAATAAAAATCTCATTGAATATGAAAAAAATGAGTCAACGAAAATAAAAATTAAAAGAGCATTTAAACCTAAAAAAACAATACAATTAGATGACAAATACTCTATCCATACATTTTTCAAATATAGACTCAATTAAAACAAAAATTTAGATAAAAAATAAAAGTAAAATTATATTATACTTTAAAGAATAAAAATATAATTAATCATGTATAAAAGTATAAAAAAATACTTTTTTTTCTTTCAACTGATAGAATTGTAGAATTATAGATTACAAAATTACAAAATTGTAAAATATTAAAGTTATAAAGATGTAAAATTATAATATTTTAAAATCATAAAATTATAATTATAAAGTCTAATTTTAATAGTTTAAAACTAATAAAATAAGATATTTTATAATACTATTTAAAAACAGATAATTTAATATATAAAAAGTATATTGATATAGTTATTCACATAAAAAACATATTTATTTTGTGATACATGAAACATACTGTTAGACCATCCAGATGTCAATAAACTTATTTATTTTGTGAAACATGAAAACATATTTATTAAACATTCAATTATACTTAATGTGAGTAGGTTTGGAAGATAATTAAAGTGTTAAATTTGAATTTTAGATCAATAAATATAAATATTTCAATCAATGATAATTATATACTGTAATACATAATGCTCCTAATACAAATGTCAATTTTATAATAATATGAACTTTTATTTACTTAAATAATTTTTTATTTATTTTAATTCTAAATATAGTAGATTGGAGACATCAAAAAATTTATTTTAAATATTTAAATCAAGATACCTAATATTGTTTTATAATAAATGTCTATATTAATATTAAACTTTAAACTTTGTGTATAATAATATCTTTTTTATGTTTATTTTCTATGAACGGGTTGTAATTTGTTTTTAATTTTCCATTAGGATATAAGTATCAGCAACCCCAATATAGAAAAGCATGGTAGGTAGAAAATTACGATACCACCCAAAGGATTATAACTAGCTTTAATTTAAGAATATGTATTAAATAAATTTAGTAGTAAGTTTAATAATCTCTTGAAGAAATTAGGTAATATATATATATATATATATATATATATATATATATTTGTAATAAAACTTTGAAGCTTCCATGGTTCAGTGAAGGAAGGTTGAAAGGATCGAGTTGAAGTTGCAGCAAGAACAAAGCAGAGGATGCATTGGTTGGGTCCGGACGTACCCGTTTTCGACCCAAATTTCAGTTACAATCACAATCCCTACACTTACGACGATGATCTCTTTCGAAACGACGACGCTCAGCGCAGTCTTAACAATGCCGTTGTGGCCCATCACCACGACGGAACCTCCCCGCTCCCCCTGGGTATGGATTGGAGCCCTCCGCCACGCGAATGGGCGGGTCGAAACACTGTTTGGCCACGTCATCCTCCCACCGGTTGGAGTTTCTGCGTCACGCTTCCCTCGTGGGTTACCGTTCCCCAACCGCCACCCTCTGATCCCGTCGTTGTTAGTATATATATTATTCCTATAAGCACTTTCTCTCTAACGTTTATTTTATTTTATTTTATTATTTTTATTAACTTACTTAGGTTTTTTGTATGCAGTTTTTTAGGGTTCAAGTTGGTATACAATCCCCCGAAGCAATCACCACCACTCGATTGATATTACGCAGATTTAGCGACTTCGTCAGTCTTTTTTCCGAAGTATGTGTGTTTTCAAGGGTTCACTCTTTTTTTTTTGCTATTTCTTTCAGTTGAGTAGAAGATTTTCAATATTATTTTTTGGCAGCTGAAAAAAGAATTTGCTATGAAAAGTCTGCCTCCACTTCCACCCAAAAAGATGCTCAGAATTAAAAGCCACGCTCTTTTGGAAGAGGTAGGTATATAGCTTAGTTTAGTATCATTGTAATGCTTGTCTATTTGACAAATGACTTAGTTCTATGTAGTTTTATACTCATAAATTTCCGAATTTCAGCGACGGAGCTCACTAGCAAATTGGATCGAGAAGTTGCTATCCGACATTAATGTATCAAGAAGTGCCTCGGTGGCAATATTCCTTGAGCTAGAAGCTGCTGCTAGATCATGTGTGTATTTTTTTTTTCATAAACCTAAACATAGTAACGTTTTGTCATTTTATGTTCAGATTTGTAGGCATCTTTTCATTTCTTGAAAGATTATAATAAATAAACGGTCCATCATGATGTTCCACAACCATTTCATACCCTTTTGCTGCTGATATATTGCAGCCTTCCATGAAGTCAACGAGCATCTGGATGAAACCTCTGCTAATAGAACTACACCTGCACAAATGTTCCAGGATAACTCTCCTGGTTCTGTAACAGCTCATGGTTCATCTGCTGCATCTGTTTTGGGCAATAATAAACTTTCTGGGCTGGGAGCACCACAGCATGAAAGCGATACGCATTCTGATCAAATCATGGATAATTTAACATCAGAGCATGGGTTAATTAATCAAAGTGAAACAGCTGTTGATCATGCCACATATGGCAAAGACTTTGTTAATAAGGAAAATAGTAGAGACAAAGATGCTATAGCTCTCAACCTGGATGGAACTGTGTTTACACGCAACTTGAATGTTCATATTAAGAACCCCTCATTGGAAAGCATTGGAAATGACTTAAATTCTTTAAAGAATACTGAAACAACTACGACCACTTTGGTTCAGGATGTTGCACAAGACCTCATCGAGAGCCATGATGAAGCGTCCAGAAACTTGGACTTATTGTTGACTTTTCCGTTGGATGAGCGGCACAAATTAAGCAAAATTCTTAATACCCAGAAACAGAGATTAGTGACTGCAAAAGCAGATGTTGAAGATCTTATAGCAAGATTGAATCAAGAAATGGCTGCAAGACAATATCTTGTAACAAAGGTACGCAGCATATGCTTGAGTTTTCTTTTGTTACTGAATTTTGAAATGGAGATTTTTGCTTGTGACATGCTTTTATTATTTCATCGAATGTGTTCAGGACAAATCTTTTTCCATTTGTATGATGTTTTTCTATCGCAGAATAATGTTGTTTCC